TAAGCCAAACGAAAAGCTTAGATGTGCTTTCAACTGAATGTCCAAGAAAGAAAAAGGATAATAGCAATACTTTCTCACTGAGGTTTCCAAGATGAAATAGATTCTTTTTTTTTTTCCTCAAGATGAAAAGCGTTGTTTTGCAACATGGATACCTAAGAATGGTGGAAATCCCAGATTTAAGCTTACTTATAACTCAGATAGTCTCTAACAAACGTCAAATGAAGACAAGAACGACAAAAGCTCAGAAATACAGATAGGCCTTTCTCCAGCGGTGAGATGCAGTTCAGTTGGCTGAACGGCAAGGCTCGAAGGTCCATTTGGTCGCTCCGCCAAACACTTCGATGTTGCTCTCTGTCCAGGAGAACACATCGCCAGTCGATGCTTTGCTATTGCAGGTTGCCAAGTTATAGATCTCGGTGATAGAAAGTTTCTTATTCCAGATGTTTAAGTTTGCCAGCTCACCAACAAAGGCTTGTGTGGCATCAAAGCCTCCTCCCAGCGTGTCCTGTGAAACAAAGGGATGTTAAGCATTTCACTTGGGGGGGTTTTCACAGGACAGTTGCAAGGTTATCCAGACAAGTTGAGGTTTACAAGATGAAAAAACTCGGGGCTTTAATTTGTACAAGAAACACACTCTTGTTTAAAGTTTGATCCTCTTTATGGAGGTCAAAAAGTGCCAGGATCCAAAAAGAAAGAGAGAAAATTGATCAAATGTAATCTTAAAAATAAATAAATGTATGCCTTTAATTTGTTATAACTAATGATAGTTTCAGTTTATTTGTTAGTTTGTTTCAGTTTACTTCAGACACTTATGTTAAATTATGCAAATAAGGGGCTGAGGGCTTGGCAAGTTTTGCCATATAGTTGATCACTGACAGGCTCACACACACGAGAAAACTACACTAATATTAATGAATAAAATGGGAAAAAATGGGAAATAAAGTTGAAAAAGGAATTAATTCAAGCTAAAGACAAAATTTTAAAAAAAGTCTATTAAAATAGAAATATCTTTTGTCCCATTTTAGGAATTAAACTATGCCTCCTTTTCTACAAATTCTTGTCATTTTTTATCTTCCATACTCCTGAAAATACTTGATCCAGGTAGAAAGCCAACAATCATTTTGAAAACTCTGCAGCTGGATTTCATTTAAGAATATGATTGCAATATGGAGGATACATCTTGCTTAGTTTTCTCTGTAAAATAGATCTCAAATTATGCTTCTCTATCAAAATTCAGGCCTTGCACACACTGGAAAGCATTAATTGACCACCTCTGCAGTTCCCCCGTGGTCTCATTTGATAAATATCGCCACTTTTAATCTTTGTCCAAATTTTATCACATAATTGGTTGAGAATTATTTCCAAATAGGTGTAGGATTAAATGTCTAATAATTAATATCCACCTGCTCTTGTCCCAGGACCAGCACACCCTCTGGTTTGATGGGGTGGTATGGCGCCAGATTTTCCCCGCTGCCCCGCTTCACTCCGTCCTGGAAGGCCTCCCACATCCCGTCACGGGTGGTCCACGTGATGCAGAGGTGATGCCATTTTCCATCGTTGATGAGGAACGGCAGTTTTGCAACCTGGAGCAAAGACATTTCGTAAGTTCTGTTGTTCAATATGTCTTCCACACTTTGGTAGCACAGACTCGGCACGTCGTGTTGCCTTTCTGCTGAATCATTTCCCCCATATCACATATCTCCTCCTCTTCTATAAAAAGGTTGCTTCTGTTTTAAACAGCACCTATTTTAACTCAGCCTCCTGTTGTGTTACAGAGAAGCTGTCAGGTTACCCTGACTCATCCAAGCAGAAAGTATTGCAGCTTCCCCCAACTGTAAATTACTATTTTGATGTGTTACATACATTTCCTGCAAAGGTGAGAGACGTGTGAATTCGCTTTGCTTCCAGGATAATAGCTTTTTCATTACCTTGTCATTGATGAGAATCTCCATGGGATTGTTCCCCCACTCAATCAGCACCAGCTCATTGGCCTGTCCTGGAACTGCATAGGAGAAGGGGGTGCCCACCCCAGGCGAAGCATTGGACTTGATCCACAGACACACGGTGAAGGAGTACATCTCAGGAAGGCTCTTCTTAGCTTTGGCGTACATATAGTTGGTTCTCAGGGGGAAAGTGATCTGGAACTTATCTGTTGGTCGGGTGTCTTTGCCTGTTGATGAGATTACTGTTAGTTAAAGCACTAGTAGTGAGCATTTTATTCATATGTCTAGAGATAAATTACAGGAAAGCTGAACATCCATACGCCTACATACATTTTGTAAAACTATGGTACATGACAGAGTCTGTTTCTTTATGAGGAGTGTCTTTGAAAAGCAAAAGAAGCTGAGGGCTGACTAGTTTCATACAATCTTTTCCATCATGGTTCTTTGCACCATTGCGATCCCGTGATATTTTGTGTAAGATGGCTCTGTCTCCTCCCTCTCATTCGGTCTAACATACGCACGCGCGTTTGCACGTGTTGGAATTTGAACCGATATTTGCTCCAAAACGCGCCGGTGCGCAAAGTTTCACTAATCCCCTTTGCAGAGGCTCGTATACAAGCTGGATATTCAGATTCTTTGAAAAACAAAAACTCAGCGAAGCAAAAGTGCAAACAGAGCCTGAGATATGCAAAGCAATGCAGCTCCCCTCACCACCCTCTCATATCTGTGCGCAATGTGATGGTTGCGGTAAAAAGGTTTCACATTGCCGCTGCTACCTGTTTGGGGTGGGGAGTTTCCTAAGGGATGTTACGTCCTTGAGCGTGAAACACAATTAAATTGCATCTAATCAGCTTTTAAATTTCCGTGGTTCGTTTTAATGCCGTGAAAGCAACACGGGGTCGAGCAGCTTTAAAGTCCCGTGCCCGTTGAAATCCAAACGCACCTTTCTCCAGGTCTGTTATCCGGTGGTGCAGAGAGGTGAGCGTGGACTCCACTCTGTTCCGCTGCTCGGAGTCATTCCTCGATCCGGATTTGGTCTCCTCTAACGTGTTGACCCGGGACAGAACTTGCTTCTCCATGTCATCTATCTTGTTTTGCAGCAGGTCTTTCAGGCTGTTTGCTTGCACGGTGTTATTCCCCCGGCTGTACTGCTGCATCGGACAGAATGAGACAGAGAGGGGGTTAAAGAAGTGACAGGGAAGACTTCTTTTTCTTTAAAGTCCCTGGAAGCTGTTTACTCTACTCACTGCCAAGCGCAAAGCTTTATCTTAAACGTGCTATTCGCTTGATTTTATAGGCTGCGGAACATTTCACTTTACACGGAGCTTCTCTCCAACAAACAGATAAATATGTTAGAAAACTCATGTGGCCCCAAGTACAAGCTGCAGAAAGCCGCAGCAACACACAATCAACGAGTTAAAGAATATTATCCTTTAATCTAATTAACTATGGAGGCGATTTAATTAACTTTTGATCTTGTCGGCAAATCAGTCGCTCTGCTTTCCTACCTCTAGATTCTCCAGTCTCTGTTTGAGCGTCTGTAAAGTCTGTCCCAGCTGGGCCAGAGTATCCGTAGTGCCCCGAGATACATCCCCCATCGTGTTCTTCGACCCCGGCCGCCGGCCGCCAGGTCCTGCGGCCGCAGGGAGGCTCTGGCTCTCGCAGCGGCTCAACTTGGACGTTAGTTCCCTGATTGTCTCCTTTTGGTTCACAATGGTCTCCTTTTGCTGCAGCACCGTCTCCCGCAGTTGTATGATAGTGCTCTTCAGGTCTTCCGCCGGGCCGCTGTTTTGCATCGTAGCTGTGCACAAGTCCATATCCTTGGGCACTGACGTGCAAATAAACTGCGTCTGTCCGAAGTCTTGCGCGAGGCTCTCCACAACAACCAGGCAGGAAAGTAGAAAAAGTTTCCACGAGAATCCCTCCATGGTTCCTGTCATGCGTCAGGGATTGAGTGTGAGAGAGAGGGGTGTCTCCGAGATTTCAGCACCACGGAGCTGTCCACTGAAGCTGTGAGACTCGCGCTGCTGTGTGCGGCTTATATAGCGGACAAACCAGCGCAGATTCACTGCATCACTGAGGGGAGGCAGCGGGTTCTGCCAAGCCCACAGAGTCCAGCCCCTTATTTAAGGTCGTATTCACTCTGTCCTACCACTTACAGTGGCAGAGAGTGCGTGTACGCCACAAAGTGAGATGAGATCGGGGAAGGAGAAGAGGAGGGGATGCAAAACGTTTCACGTGAAGTCTCAATCACTTGTCTTCAGTCTACTGCTAACAAACCTTTAGAACAACGTAACTTTAAATAAAGGGTAAAACCAGTCTCCAGTTTTCTGTCACGGTCGTGATTTGATCTTAAATTGAAATGATTGAAATAACAGAAACATTATTTTCACTATTTTAACCGTTTATTGAATAAAAAATGTATGAAGTGATGATATGTAATGTGTAAATATCTCTGACTCTTGAAACCTTGTTCATTAACATTTATAGTTTCTGGGCACGTAAGAATATACATAAACAGGTGACAGTATATTAATTAATAGTAGAAACAGAAAAACACAACACTCAGTCAAATGGAATTTCTGATCCGTTTTTAATGCCTTTATTTGAGGTAAAGGAATCTTTTTCTGGAAAGTTAAGCTATTCCACATTTTTGACCAGATATCGTTTTTACTTTACTTTAGAGCTTAATAAGATTTTAGTATCAAATTTTGCATTTCATCTACTTATATAACCGAGGATGTTTTTATTGAGCAATATATTATTTTCGATTTTAAAGCCTTAACTTTAATTTTGAGTGATCTCATTTTATTTTAATTATCACATTCTTTCTTAACTGTGACATCACAGTTAAAGATTATTGAATTTTGTTAAACTGCAGAGAAATCAAAAGGCTGAGCTGAGCTGTTAAAGACACATCTCCACTCACTTCAGCACCCTGTGCGCCATACAACTGTCTGCGCTTCACGCTCATCCAACGCGCGTTTGTGAATGCGAAATTATCAGCCCACCTTAAATGAAAACAGCTCCCCATCCTTCAGAAAAGTCTGTCCCACGGTTAGAGACCCCACCACAACCTCTCATTTTCTCACCCGCCCTCTCTCCCTCCCTCTCTCCCAGTCTGTCTTTTTGGCACGCGCGCTGGCGTCGTAAAACCCACTCCACTGGTGTCCAGAAATGTACTCCACGGTGCAGGTTCTTCAGTGACTTTAAAGTATAACAGCCTTGTTTACACCCCCAAACAACACGCTGTCAGAGTGTGTTTTCCTTTTTGTTCACTGTAACAAAGTGTGCACCGCAGCAGCCGCTCGGAGCCTGACACAGACGCGCTTTGGGCTCGTCTGATGTGATGGTAGCAGTTATGTTAAATCTCACCACTACAAGAGCGGAGGCGCTAAAAGGAAAGTCAAATGTTTCCAAATAATTAATCAGACTGTTGCGTAACCACCCCCGCGGCTCTCACACGAAAAAAATAAGATGCACAGCGAGCAACACTTGCTGTATCACTGGCGATACCAAATCGCCAGTGATACGTGCAGGGTGAGGGTTTAAAAAAGCAATCACGTGCATCCGGGACTTTCCACTTTGGCATTAGAAAATTAAATGATATTTATGCAACACAAGCAGGTTTGTTCTCATGTATGAAACGTATTTGCCTCTTCACACCAAGTGTGGAGGGCTGAACTGAAGTAATGAATACATACAAAGATAGAGTACTGTGCGCAAATCTGGAGCCACTCCCCGTGTCTTTACATTTTGTTTCCAAAGAGCCAGACTTACCTATAACTCTTAAAGTGGTCTTGAGCAAGTTGTCACCCATTTTCACTCCAGTCCTTTTACTTAATCACTTTAAGAGGATAATTTTCTTTGTTAAACTACTTGATACTTAACTGACCTACGACTCATTCAAATAGGAAAATAGTCATAAAGAAAAAAAGCTCAAGCAAACACCGGACACAGGACCTAAGAGATGCATCTGGATTTGCAGATGGTCAAGCTATTGTTCACTAAAGCAACATAGGAAATGGCCTCAGTGGAAGGATGGCTGTCCAGAGGCCATTCTAAGGGAGAAAATGCTGAGGTATGGCCAATTACACACAAGATGGAACAGAAATCTGTGGGAACAAGTCTGATGGAGGAATGAATTGAAATGTAAAATTTTTTTTGGTTCAAAGCAGCATCAATATTTACAGAAGATGTTGGGAGAGAGGAACAACAGTGAGTGTCTAAGGTCACGTGTTAATCATGGTGGAGGCCCTGTCTTAATTTGAGGCTGTATTTCAAACAGTAGTTTGGGGGTTTTGTCAAATTGGATGGAATTATAAACACAAAAAAGTACCATCAGACTTTGATCTGCCATGCAATACCGTCTGAAAAGCTTCATTTTCAAGCATGACAATGATCCCAAACACAATGCCAATGCAATAAAAGCATTTCTGGATGGAAAAAAACAGAATGGGAACATTTATCAGTCATGGATCGTCATGATTTCACGTGGATAGATAGATTGAATTCTGGCAGTTTGGTCGTTCAGAAAAAAATCTACTGAAACTAAACACACTGAAAGAAGAAAACGTTATGTGCATCGACCGAGGCGAGTTTAACCTTTGTTATCACAATTATTATCAACTATAGGCTCTCCTTAATTTGCATTTTAAGTGAAACTTGTGGTCTTGGTGACATTTTTTATTAAATAAAAGGATCATCGTTAAAGCTCACTATTTTGAAACTATCGTGTGAGTAAAAACAAGCCCAGTCTCGCACGTGAACGCCCCTCACTGCCTTTTCACACATCTGGTTAGAACACCGGGTCACAGCCATCGACTAACTAAACAAGAATCCAAACGCACAAGTCGCAGGTTTGCTTCCAACCCGCCTGCTCCGACACAATTATCCGCTCCGTCTCTGTCGCATCGGTGTAGTTGAGCTCTGCGTAAAACGCGGAAACGAATGAACGCTCAGAACGGTTTTTTAAGCCGCCTTTAATTTGAACTCTGCTGCATTTCAAGAGGTTTTTTCAGACTTTAATATGACGCCGCGGCAGCCGCCGGCTAAGGTGGGATGAAAATTGACCCAACAGTCCCCTTTAATTTGTTTAATTATCGATCCAACGCGTTGTAATCAGCAAGGTGCCAAGCTGAAGGAGAGAAAGAGCAGATATAACAAATGGTTAATGGCAGGGTCTAATTGCTGAGTTGCAGGACAAGCGGAGTAACAAATTCTCCTTATCTCAGCACATGCACATTAAAGACCGAGCGCTTATTAGCGCTCAGAGTGAGAGCGGCTGCGGATCAACAAGTAATGCCTCATTCAGTGTTTTCAGCCACCAGCAGCGACGCAGTGCTTGTTTACCAAATGAGAGCAAATTGAGCAGCTTTAAAAGCTCTTGATGTGCAAGAGTTAATGTTAATGACGCTGCTTCTTCCCACTGTACTGAGAGGTTACACTGTAAGCGACGACTGCTTATCACATTTATCTGTTCAGTATTCATCTCCTGTCCCAGCATTGAACCATTCTGCAGCACCATATGTTCAGCTATGATTCCCCCCATCCTCGCTGTGTGCCTGCCACTTACTCTGCTGCAACTCCCATAAAACTGATTTAACTAGCTGTCCAGTTAGCTTTTCATTGAGCTTACCAAAACCCAGGAAACTGTAGCACGTGGAATTCGTTTTTTCTGTTCCTTTATACTTCCTGAAAGTGAAGCATTTAGATGGAACTTGATATTTCACGGCTAGATTTACATCTTTTCTTCAGTTTTTGAAGAGGAGTTTTGACCCATTCTTCCTTGCAGCTTGCTCATAGCACAAGGTCAGATGTGGCAGTGCATGAGCCAGCAGACCAAGCTGGACTCCAGGGGCCGGTATGGAAAAGGGCTGAAATCCATAATGATCAGTCTCTCAGGTTCACTGAATAATGCAAAGCTTTATAATAGAACCCACTCTCTAATGGTAGAGATAAATAAGGACCATTTTGCACACTGGCAGGCAAAACGGCTGCTTATTTATCCAGCATCTGCAATAGCAAAACAGAGAAGACGTAGGGAGGGTGGCATAAGGGTGGGTGTGGTGGTGCAGCACAAGCAAAACAAGAAGGCAAGAAGGGGAGTTCATGTTGGTGCAATCTGAGTGTGTTGGGTATGATTTGTCTGTCACCTCTGTGCCACATCTGAGCACTGTTTGTACTGCTTCTCTTTGTTCAAAATTCTCATTTCACAGCTACGAGGAAGTGTATTTTCAGTTGCAAATCTATTAACTTTCCTCCTTTGTTTGCTCTGTCCAGGTTCCCAAAGTAAACTTTGTTTTTCCTTCCATGTGCACACTCCACTACATCCCTTCTGACTGTGGGGAATTCAGATGTGCTGCCAGGTAACTGAAGCCTCAGTGCTGAAACTCCAGTGTCTCTGCCACTGCTACACTGATGTCTCCATTTCATCACATCTCACCATCCCACCAGGTAGGGGCTCTCTGATGGGATGCCTGCACTGTGGAGTAGTCTGCTGTTATGCATGTACTCCCACCAGGACAGCTGGGAAGAGTGGAGGACTAGAGTGGAGCAGAAAAACGCCGAAGAGTCTGTCTCTGCTAAGAGAGGTAGTTTTATTTTATGCAGACACACACACTGACAAGCTAAACATTATAAACCATGCAAATTATAAATTCTTCCGCATGCCTGTATGCAGATGAAATACAGGACTAAATAATTTGGCTTTGACCTTCAGCTCTATGATCTACTTCTTGTAACATTGTTTTATTGACGTTTGCCAACACCGGAGGGTCGCTCAGTAACTTACGCCTCTCTTACTAAAACCCAAAGTGACATAAACAAATACCGGTGGCACAAGGCGTTCCACTGGGCTCTGAGCTAATCTCATCATAATTCTCCAAAGCCTGCACATTAACGCTCTCGCTATGACAGTGCTGTTCATCAAGCTGCTTGCGTTGGCCTCGTTGGACTTGCTCCAGAAACAACATTTTACCCCGTTAGGCCTTTACCTCGACAAGACTGAGGCCAAAATAGGAGGGAGG